AAACCCAAATAATTTTAATTGAGGATTACTCTTAGAGCTATATTAATATTAATAAAAATTAAATGCTTTTGATTAATCTAGATTGGCTTGTAAGGGTAAAACACAAAGACAAAACTGAGGCAGTGAGCCTCACAATGCCTCCACTGATTTCTCTACTGGCCCTTCCTCTGCACATGGTCAATTAGAATTGAAAATCCTGTGCTGATTTCATTCGCTGGAATTTTTAAGCAGGTCAGGAAGAAAGATGTTATTGAAAAGAAAAGTCTCATCTAAATAAGAAAGGAGCACGTGGCCATCTGGTCTTAGCTATACATATAAAAGTTATTTCAGCTGAACTGCAGGCTTGATGTTTAAAAAGATGTGCCAAAAATCAAACCAAAATCTGTTTACGGTAAAATATCCCAAATGTTTCTTTTTAAACTTTCAAATATGCAATACACAGTTCATTTCCTATCTGTGATTCATGAGCCCATTTGACCCCAGCGTCTCACTGAGCTTGACTGAGTTTTACTCAGTAGAACATTCAATCATTTTTAGAACACTTTTCCTTCATAGAGTGTCAACAAGACACTGGATCTTGTAAAAATTGTGAAAATAACTTTGATAGTTTTCACTCAAATTGATTTTGAGTATTGTCTTCATGTAGGATTGCAAGAATAAAATTTGAGACATGAAGCAGCCAAACCAGTTTCCCTTCTTTACGCATGGCAACTTGAGGTTCTTGTGCATTCTCTGCACAGTGCTCAGGCATCTACTCACAGTAATTTCAAGCCCTATGCCTAAAGGCTAAATTAAAAAAAAAATTCTCTTTTCATGTGGAGAAATGATAAGTGTTGAGTCTTCTTTTAGAAATCATTTTCATGGTAGTAAGAAACAGAGATGGTTTTAAAACATTTTATGCTGTTCGTCAAATTGGAGTCATATCTTTTGATACTATTTTTTGACATGAGGTATTTGCAGTAATTATAACATCAATACATTAATTCGTTCAGTATCTGATAACGCCCTTCTGTTAGTATAAATGTAGCTAGTTGAGGTCGCAATCTAAATTTTATCATATTGAAATACATTAATAGTCTTCAAAAACTCTTATAATAAAGTGACAACAATTATTTTGGGTCAGAAGACTATATTCAAATGCATCATATATACACTAAATATACTACATGCATGTAAGAGACATACATGATCATAATATCAACACATGCTAAAAAAGGATGTGGATTTAAGCTAAGTCTTCAGATAAATAATTGGATTAAGAATATTCTAATATATGAAACAAAATAGTCTTGACATATCCTTGAAATAAAATATCCATTTGTTGTTTTATACATCTGCTATGTTTGTTCTGCCATTTCAAATAAATCATTGCCATTGTGTAAGAAGAATAAACTGTACTATAGTAAATTGTTCTTTCTCCGTTATGCTCTGAAAAACCATTTGTTCTTGAATTGGCGTTACGTAGTTCAACTATTTCAATCAAGTCCATTATCTTCTTGTCTTTGAAAGACGCCTTTTCAGTAACCTGTATCCCCAATGGGCAATGTCATGTATTGTTTTTTGAAAGTAGGTAAAATTTAAATACAAATATTTGTTCATTTAATCTTTGATAAAGAAATTATATAATTAATAATCAGTCTTCTGCTATATGTTGGAAGAACTGTTTATGTAGAGTCAGGCCAAGAATTTCTTAAAGAAGTTATTTATTAGTTCATAATGGAGACTTACTCCATAGAATGTCATCTAACTTATGTCACTTGCTTTCTCTAAGTACAAAATGTGTCAGTTACATGTACTTTTCTTAACAAAAGCTTTTCTTAACAATGGTAACATGAAAGCAGAAAAAGAACGAAACATTTTTCATGTTTTTTAAAACAACACATTGGCAAAATGAACCTTATTAATTTGCTGACATATACATAGTGCTGTTTATACACATATGCTTTGAAAACCCTTTCAGATTAATTGCACCTTAGTATGCAAGAATGAAGAAGTTTTAACAGCAAATTCCAAAATTTCAAAAATTATGTATCAGATGCTTGGTATATAAAAACTCGTCAGTATAGCAGTCATTGTATTCTAATGAAGATTAATTTAAACTACATAACAAAACTTGGTAGTTAAGGGGAAGTATGTATACAGAATTGTTCTATATATACATCTCTAATCAGGCAGTATGTTTTGGTAAAACTATTAAACTTTCTTTACTTGAAATAAAATAATGTACTTTTAAATGTGTACATTAATAAAAATCAGAGCACATGTTTGGTGAGTAACTATCCAGTGTAAGACCCATCAAACAGACTTGAAAATAAATCCAAACACTGTACTAGTTCACACAAAAGTTAATTCAACTATTATCTAACCAGAGATATACCCTTATAAAAGCACATGAGAGAGAATTACTTCTAAATCAATGGTGTAAAATTATTCTTTCCTTAAGAAATAAAAGTACAAAGGATTTAATTGTTACCAAATATTAAGTGGCAAATAAAAAACACCAAATCATCCTAAATCGCAGTATTGTAGCATTTTCATCCAACTTGATTTCAAAATGCTCACCATTTCTACATCCTATTCATATCATTGAAATTCAGCCACCTTTCAAATATTCAACCAGCATATTAACAAGGCTTCCTAGAACCAGGAAACTCTGACTGACTACATATTTCTTGATAAACATACCCGTCCTGCCCCATAAACACATCTTCGAAAGAAAGATAGCTGCAAATAAAATAGTCCTTTCCTGTGGGTGTCGGTTAACCCCATGAGCACGTGAACTTCCTATGGGCACACACCCAACAGACATTAGCGATTAGGTGATTGAAAATGTTGCCCGCAAAGGCGAAATTTTATACACGATGACATCACCAGCTAACCTGGATTTCTCTGTGATATAATGATATAATTGCCTGGTTGAGTGTGTGCATCTTGAGCTACACAGAGAAAAAGAGACAGCGTGTGTGTGTGTGTGCGTGTGTGTGTGTGTGACAGAGAGAGAGAAAGAGAGGGAGAGAGAGAGATGCTTAAAGAACAGCATTATCAGAAATGGTATATAACCTTCTGCAAGGTTTGCAAGAATCTTTTGACAGACCTTTGACTTTTTCCAGATTTCATGCAGCCTAAGTTCATTCAAAAATGCATTCCCCACACAAACAAATTATGTTATGTTTAGTTGGCACGCTGTTAGTCCTAAAACATTCTGATAGGATCTGTGGAGATGAGATCTCCACACCAAATGAGGCATGTGCATCTGTATGATCTGCTGTGGGAGTGTTGCAAAGTCCCTTGAGACCTGCCTTTGAAAGGGGACGACGTCTTGGTTTCAAAGGTAATGAAAGGGTTAAAAATTGAGGCTGTCTAGGGTAAGAGAAAGGGGATATTGTTGTCTTTAATCTTTCCGCAGTATGTGTAAGACTTCCATCCCGGATCTGCACATAGCAGAGGAATAGGCTCGGCATGCATTGCGTGCAAGCTCCTTGATTGTAGAAGGGAAAAAAAATCTGGCTGCAGTCCAGACAGGCTGGAGCTCTGTTGATCATTATGTCTAGCCTTCAGGTGTCTCAGCACACAGTGGGCGGCGGTGGGGGAGGTGTAGATAACATGAGAGCAGACAAAGAAAAAAAACGGTGTATTTTTATAAGATTATGTGAAAATTTGTATGTATTTTCAAGTCCTCCTTAAGAAAATGAATCCGAACATCTTGGACTTTTATAATTAGAACACAGGCTCTGCTCCGGCAGCTCTCTTTAAGCCGTAATTAGTTATGTCTGGAGCCTTTGAATAATTCCTTTCAATAATTGATGGAGTTAATATTCTCTTTTAAAAATGAGGAGGATGATGTTTTTCACAAACTCTTTTTGTTGGAGCCTTTGTCATTCAAAATCTTCATCAGTCGGAATCACATTGATGTGATTTGCCTTTTAATTTCTTATAAGACTTAGCTTATAACTTTTTAAGGATTTGAACAATTCTAGAAGTAAAGGCATAATGCATTGCTAGATTACTCTAGCTGAATATAAAAAGAAAGCAGTAATACAGGAACATTCTCTCCATTTGTTTCCAATTATTTTATAAATTAAAAAACTGCCTTGTATGTTGCTTCTGTTTGGAACTCCATCGAAAAACCTTACTAAGAATGTAAGGAACTTAGATGCTAATCATATCTTTGCTGGCTAGTCAGAAGAAATGCCAAATTATTTTATTCTTCAAGCATTCTTCTATAAAGAAGCTTCCGCATGCTCCCTCCCCACCCCCACATCCTCACTCCACCCTATTAGGAATTGCAAAAAAAAAAAAAAAAATCTTTATACATGGAAGGCTAGATCCTAAGACAGAAAGCTGTCTTTTCCTTTTCTCTTTACACTGGCCACTTTCAGGCGCCTTCACTTCTGCTGGGACTTTATTTCACATTTTGTGGACTACAACACGGAAACCAGTTCGGTCTCTATCCTGATTATAAAATAAAAGTGGTGGTTAAAAAAGTGTATAAAGAAAGCCCTGGCTTGAAGCCATTGTTCAGATTTTAAGAGCTATTTGCCCCCAAGTGTCTTTGCAGTCTTTCATAGCTAATTATAATAACTGTCAGATGTCTGAAGTCCACGGTGCCCTTGTCAGTGGAGTCAGCAAAGTTTGTCTTTTATTTTTGGGAGACAGAGCAAATCTTATTAGACATAAAGAGCAAAAAGAAGTGAACTAAGTACATATGTGTGTGCCTTCATTTTTTCTTATGAACAAAGCAGCACACTAGAGCAATATTCCCATGTTCCGGCGTCCAGCCTCCTACAGCTACTCTTTGGAATGCCTGACTTTTATTTTTAATTCTTTATCCTTAACAGAATAAGGTATGCAACAATTGTCCCTGGAATGTTTTCCTGCCAGCTGAATACCCTTTAACATACACATAAAAGAGAACCCCGAAGAAATCTTTAAATATTGGATGTTTCTGACATAAAACTATTTTTAATCAGTACGCTTGACGGAAAGAAATGTATACTTACAATTTCAAAATGGTCATTTGCTTTAGTTCCTTGTCCGCAGAGGCAGAGCAGAGGCTTTTGCCAGACTGTCCATGACGCAGGTGCAGAATCCCTGTTTTCATGCCGGAGGAAGGTAGAAAGTGCTTTATAAAGTCACTCAGAACTCAGCCACTTGTGCCCAGACATCCCTTGCTCCTGTGGAAGCTGTACTATCTGCAGTTCTGAATTGAACTAAATTACAGTCCATGTGAAAGACAGGGGCAGTGAGTCATGTGAGAGATACACAGCTATCCTATTGGCCACAAAGACATAGCTTAGGCATTCTGCCTTTTCCACCATTGGTGAATAGTTAAAACTGAAAGCATCTAGATCCTCCTCTTAAGCTTATTTGTCCTTTATGTGTGGAAGAATGACTGTAGGATTTTACAGTGACAGAATTAGTTAAGAAAGGGGCTGAAGTCATCCTTCACAGAGACTGGTAGGAGGTGATTGGAAGCTCAGCTTTTTTAAGATTTCTTTTTTCTTTTTACCCCCCGACCTGCAGTTTTGTCTATGGTTTGCTTGTCTGCCTGTCAGAAACATGTTTTTTGTGTTTTTGTTTTTTTTTTTTTCCTCCCTTCAGTTAACTTTGGAAGTGACAGAAAGTAAATTATCATCATATTCCTTTGTGGAGCTGTCATGTTTTGAAGCACAAAATCAATTATTTTCAATGATGCATTTTCAAGTTTTATTTTTATGTTTACAGAGACTTTATTGCAGCTCAAAACTAACAAACTAAATTGTTCATTAGTAACACCCAAAACAGAATTAACTTTTGAGTAGTTATTACATTTTGGAGAAAGGAGGGGTAGAAATAACTATGGAAAATAATAAGGGGTTTTAACTAAGCAGAGATAAAGAAGAAATATATTTCTCCATCAAAGCCACCCTTTAATTTACCACTGTAGGTAAGGCAGAATGTCCAGAAAACTGCCAGTCAGATGGTATTTTTCATTTATGCTTGGATTCTTTAATTCACCTGATTCCTTAAAAATTTTTAAGTGTGTTTGTAAAGATTTCGAAGTTGTAAATTACCTTAGAAGTCATCAAATCTCACATTCGCTATGTTAAAGGCGAAGAAGGTAGCCTCAGACAGGACACTCTTCATAACACCGATCCACAGAGCTATGCAAAATAAATGAAGGACACATTGAAATAAATGCTTGTTAACTCTTACGTACCTACTAAAAGCCAGTTGCCTTCTCATTTCATTCAATAATTGTACAACCCATAGAATAAGTTTGACTACTTTTGTTTCTCCTTGGTAGAAACAGACTCAAATGTCTTACTACCGTGGTAGTGCTTGGATTTGAACCCATGTGGCTGATTTCACGCCTATTTTTTCCAACTTGGTATGTGTCCTTCCAAAGTAATGATGAGTATTACGTGTAGGTTCCTTCGTACTATAGGGCAAGTCATGTGCAAAACCCTTGAGAGCACCTCATTCAATCCTCACAGCTATGAATGAGTCAATTATTCTGTTATGCCCAGTTCATAGATGAGGAAATGAGGTGTATACTACTCAGTATTATATAGGTGGTTGTTGGCAGCATGTGACTCAAACCAACTCTTATCTGTTTTAGACACCATATGGATTCTCATCACAGTGTTGAATAAGGCTTTTTTTTTTTTTTTTGCCTAATATGATGGAATATTTTGGGGTAAATATGGAATATTCACTGTGGTCAAGTCAACGTCTGGGTCTATTTGGATCAGACCCAGATCAGACCATTAAGCGACCCATATGGCACTGGAAATAGGCGTCAGAGGAGTAGCCATGGAACCATGTTTGTCTTCAGGCTCTACAAGCAGCCTCACACAGGGTTTTGCAATTATAGGAGCTTCCATATCAGTTGAAGGGGCACACTCTCTCAGAACCTCAGCCTGGGTCTTAAGGAGTCCTACTGCTGGTTCAAAATCTGAAACGCAGTGTTTAATAGAGTAAGTATTGGACCCTTTCAAAAATAGTGTCATAAATTCCATTTCAGCCGGATATCAAGAGCCACCAAGGGGTTTCCTGAATTGTACCCCTCTTGCAGCAGCCGTAATCATACAAATGGGAAATTTGCATTGGCTCCCGCAACCCTTGTGTGGTTTGTTTGTAGACGGGAGGTGATTACTGAAGGGCAACTGCCTGCATCTTCATCTGCACTTTCTAAAGCACACATTGCTTTCGCTCACAGCATGATATGGGACAGGTTAGGCAGGTCCCAGATAGCATCGGAAGAGAGCTTTTAGCCCCCTTCTGTTTTGAATACTTTTTTCTTTCCATAAGTGGTGCTTCCATTCCTAAACAATCCAATCACCTACCTCATGCTCTCCCGAACCCTTACAGGTCAGCCCTCTCTTGTAGTGCGCGTGTGATAACATTATGTTATCCTTGTCATCGTCAAATAAGCTACTCTATTATACTGCAAATATTTCAAAGGCTGAGCTGTATCTTGTTATATTTTAATCCTGCATAATGCCAATCACAGTAGAGAGGAGATAATTTCTTTTTTGGCCTTCAGTGACCTATTCACTAGTATACAACAGATCAGAAATGAACCTGGTGAATTATGTGAACACATTTTTTTAAAAATTAGCACTTTAAAATAAAGTCTAAATAGATCAGGCACAGTGGCTCATGCCTGTAATCCCAGCACTTTGGGAGGCTGAGGCGGGTGGATCATGAGGTCAAGAGATCAAGATCATCCTGGCCAACATGGTGAAACCCCATCTCTACAAAAAATACAAAAATTAGCACACCTGTACTCTCAGCTACTCAGGAGGCTGAGACAGGAGAATCACCTGACCCCGGGAGGTGGAGGTTGCAGTGAGCCAGGATCACACCATTGCATTCCAGCCTCGCAGCAGAGCGAGACTTTGTCTCAAAAATAAACAAATAACTAAATGTAAAATAAAATAAAGTCTAAATAATTGATTCAGACAATGAAGAACAAATAGAAAAATTATTATAAGACCACAGACTCTCCCAAATATTGGTCTAAGTCCATCAGACACAACATTTGTACTAACTATACTGATGGTCATGGTTTTAGCACACATGTATCTCAGTCCTCTCTGCTGTCATTTATCAACTTCATTACTCTCATTTACTGTTTTTCAGGTCTCCTTTTTGTCTCTAGCTCTGCTCTAGTTCAGTGTTCACAAGGGCAATCTATTCAACACGCTAACGTCTCAGTTCAGTGACCTCCTCAATTTCGATGAGGTTCATCGCCATTCCCCATGACATCACCCATGCTCATGCGTTGAAGCTTGAAAAATTTTATTTTAAAATTGTAAAATCAAACTACCTACTTTCTAACCACCATCTTCAATGTTTCCAACTTTTTGCTCGTTACCCTCTCTGATACCTCCAATCCTTCGGTTTCTACGTTTGCTTCTTATCTATTGTGCCTTTCACTCCTTTTCTTCCCTTTCATACTTCATTCTCTCTTAGAATTTATGATTCATGATTTCATACAGTGTCTGGACAATATCCTAAAGGTTCTTGCCCTGCTTTTCTTCTGATGGCCCCTCCTCCCAAGAATTTCACCAGTCAAAACCAGATTTTGAATTAATCCAACTGTTAAACTTTTCTAAGCTATTCTGGGCTTTCTAAGAGCTGTTGGGGAGAAGTCTCTTAAGCCTAGAAAGGGTGTTACTATCAGCCAAAAGTCTCCAGGTTTGACCAGTTACCCAGTGCTGTATTAAAAATCTATGTTTCCACAGTCAACTCTTTTTATCTTTTTCCACAATGCTATCCAATCTTTGCTCTGCCATCTCTAGCCCCTGCTCTCACCAGATTGCATTGCCTTCTCCTTCTCAGGAGAACCAATGAACTTGCCAATATGCAAATTCATCTTTTTCTTATTTATTCTCATCACAATGGAAAAGTTGCTTTTCAAACTGTTCAAGGAAGATCACTCACTGTGTACATGGATATCAATCTCTTCTAACTACTTGGAAATTTTTTCGCAGGTGTATTTCTCTTTCTCAAATTGTCAACAGGTCCCTGCCTACTAAACTCATTGATATTAGCATTTTTAAAATGCTGGTTTTTTTTTCTTTTTAAATATTAATAAAAATCTCCTCCATAGATACCAGGTTCCTCTTCCTGTCTTTTACCCTTTCTGGGTAAATCTCTTCAAAGGTTTACGGATATTCACTATTACTACTTTTTTTCCTTTTGCTTCTCTACCCACTCAATCTGGCTTCTGTCCTCATCATACTGATTTTTGCCAAATACCTCTGTGCTACGAAATCCCATGAACAATTTTCAGTCTTTGTTTTCTCTAAAATGCTTGAGCAGCTGACCCCTCTCTATTTCCCCAGGTGTTCTCCTCCTTCAGCCTCATGTGTTCTGGCTTTTATCGCCTCTTCCCTATGTTATCTGTGTTTGCACCCCCTGTCTCTTGAATATTTGTAGTTTTCAGAACCTCCCATAGGCCATAGTCTCTTCTCACTCCACAAGACTCTCTTTCAGTCATCTCATTCACTACATAGTTTCATTTGCATCTGTACTAATGATTTCCACATTTCTATCTGCAGCCCAGATCTTTCTCTTGAGCACCAGAGCTATAGATCCCACTGTCCCTTCCCCTTGGAGGGTTCACTGATACCTCAAAGCCAATATGTCCAACACGGAAGTCATCATCTCGCCTTTAAATTGTGTAACGTGTATTGTTTCTTATCTCAACAAATAGTACCACTATCCACCAGGGGCCAAAAGACAGAAAACTTGAGGCTAATATTTACCTCTTCCTTTCCTTTACGTAGGCTTTCATATCCAACTGATCAGCATGCACCATAGGTCTCTTGCATCTGTTCGCTTCCCGCATCTCATTCATAGTAGGCATGCCTCAGTATCATTACAGTTAACATTGGCGTCCGCTTTCTCTCCAGTCTTGCTTAACCCCACTTCAGGATCCCCGTGACTACAACAAACTTGCAGCCAATTGGATCTTTTAAAAAGGCAACCTGATTCTTTCACTCCTCGGCTTACTACTGTTTAGTGTCCCCCATTACTCCTAAGGCAAAACTGTGAATGTCCCTGAGGAAGCCGCTTTTGTAAGCTCCAGTGTTTTATTTAAAAAATGCATGGCAATGTTTAAGGTACAAATAATATTATATTTTACTTAGTTAAGTCTCCTAATCTTGCCCTCAAAACCTTTTAAAATCTTCCAGTGAAGTGGAGGCATAATCAGAGGACAACATTTGTGCGGTG